TATTTATCAACAGGGGGCACTGAAATAATTCAAAGTTCCATCATCTTCGATTATATGAGAATAGAATTTGCAGTTCTATGTACATTCGCAAATTTAGCTATTGAAGCTTTCAAAAAATTTTAATTATATTTAAAAATAAAAAGTCGATAGACCCTTGAATTATCCGAAATTATCCAAAAAATTGTTCAATCCGAAAATTATCTGATTATCCGGATATTGGCAACACAGCTTGTCTCATCGTGTTTTCCACCACGTAGAGACCTTTTTTGGATACCAGTACCACAGACCAGACCATGAGTGACTGTGGGTGTTTGATGGTGGGCACAATCCAGTCGGGCTTGTATTTCTCATTGAGACGTCTCCCAACAAACTTCGTTTCTTCTGTCAAAACTTGAAAAACGGATTTGTCCCAGAAGCAGACTTGAAATTAACAAAATTTTAGAAATGCTCATGTTTTTTAGTGTTTAATATTGATATTCAAGCAAAGCAACACAAAGATACCTTTTCCAGTCTTTCACTGTCCAGTTTTTGTATTTTTGTACCCATTCGAAACGTTTCTTTATCATAGTTCGTAATCCTTGGCTTTTGAGCTGGTCTCCTAGCTATCAGTTTGTTTTCGACAAGTCTCCGACGAATTGTTCTTTCTGAAACATAAATTCCTTCATCTCTTATCTTCTGGGTAAGCATTAGCAGTGGTTTCTTTTTGTTTAGTAGCCAAAGATCTCTTATTTTGCGATCAGTCCTAGGAGTAGTTACACGATGTCTTCCGCTGTGACACTTACGCTTTGGATCCAAACTGACGCCAGAGGCAATTTTCTGTTTTATATTCCTTACAGAACTTCTTGATACTCCTACCATTGCTGTAATTTCATTTTGAGACATTTGTCCAGCTTTTAGGAGTCCAAATATCTGGCCTACTCGTTTTGGTAACATCAGCGTTTTCCTCATGTAAAAATGTATAATACTCTTAATTATACCAATAACTTCACTGTATATGTTTATAATATATAAAATAATAATAAAAAAAAGGATAAATCACTCCCCTCTACAATAAAATTTCAGGTCAAGGCAGATGAATTGACTAAATATACAACCGTCAGTCGGCAGTCCCTAAAATGGCACATAATTTCAGTCAAACAAAGTAATAATGAAAGTAATACAGCGTTTGCCAGCAATACGTGTATAGTCGCCTCGTATTTCGGTGAGACTGTGTAAGAATATATTTATCTGTAATAAAAGCAGGCAATAAAAATTAAAATAAAAGTGCTCTACCAGGAGTAGTTATTAACTGCAAAATTATCAATGACTGAGATGTATTATAATACAAAGTTTTAATATTCCCATCGATATTTACATTCAGATGTGCCTGGTATTACGTTAGAAAAGATGTACAGTCGCCCAGATAAAGTTATCATCGATGCAGTATTTGCCTAAGATAACAATATTTGCCTGAGCGACCGAAACTATAAGCTATAAGGTAGTTTATCCAAATAAATTTCGTTTTGACCGTCCAGTGGTTTACACTTGGGTACGTAGGTATAATATTTTACTTTATTTTAAACTTTATTTTTAAACGAAATATTGTTTATTTGGATGAAACCTGGTATGGTACTCATGACACGGTGAAAAAAAGTTGGACGAATAATAACAAAAAGTGTTCTAATTCAGTACCGCCCAATAAAGGACAGAATTATAATTTTACACTGCGGTGTAGAAAATCTCCTGGAAGGATAAGATAACTAACCAAGTTGTACTAGACAGGATGAACAAACAAAAGGAGGTCGTATTGAGTGTTAAAATGAGGAAACTACAATACCTGGGACATATTACACGTGGGAATAAATATCAACTGTTACAACTAATTATGCAAGGAAAGATTGAAGGTAGGCGCAGCATAGGTAGGAGAAGAATGTCGTGGTTGAGAAACCTCAGGAAGTGGTTTGCTTGCACTTCCATACAATTGTTCCGAGCGGCAGCCTCCAGGGTCAAAATTGCCATGATGATAGCCAACCTTTGTAGCGGAGATGGCACGTGAAGAAGAAGAAGAAGTAGAAAATGGATACATCGACGATGTATTATTAATATCTGCAAAAAAAATGAAAGACGTGAATCTAGATTATCATGAGGATATGGAGGGTTCAAGTATAAAAAAAGTTCAACTCAGGAACCATAGATGTAAACGTTCAATGTTTTTTTGAAAAAAAAAAACAGAGGTTAGTTTTTATAAAACTCACAAAGAAAGAAAGTACGTAAAAATATGTAAAAGAACAGTAAACTATATAATTTTACGAAGATACTTTTAAAATGTGGCACCCGTGGTGTGATAATAATTCTGCAGCTGAAAAGCCAGTGGAACCCTCTAATCAATTGGAATATTTACAAAGCTGTGTAGTAAAATGTAAGCGACATTTTCAATATATCTCTGATGATCCCAAACATGCTGAAACATGTTTATGAAGGATTGTGTTCTAGATTGTCTAAATAAGAAACAATTGTAGAAACATGTTTATCAGAGTGTCGAAAGCAATCTGATACAAGACTATAGGAGCAACATCTTTTTCTAGACAGGTGAGAAAGGATTGTGCAAATTCACACAAACAGGACCGCACCTAAAGGAACATATAATCAGAACAATATATAAAATGGAAGTGGCTAATATTTTTCCAACTATTGAAAGCTTTCGAAGTGAACTGGTTCGAAAGGATATTCTCTTATATTCAGCAACAACACTTTGATGATTTCTTAAAACCCATAATTTTAAGTAAAAAACTATAGACAAGCGCCAAACACTAATGGAAAGTACTAGAATAATTATTTCTTAAAGAGACACTTCTATCCGATAGATAACTGAGTATCAAAAAATGAAACGAAATCTTGTTTATTTAGATGAGACTTGGTGTGATACTCATGACAGGACAGAGAATTATAATTTTACACTGCGGTGGAGAAAATAGATGGATCGATTATGTATTATTAATATCTGCAAAAAAAATAAAGATGCGTCTTTAGATTATCATGAGGACATGAAAAGTTTAATTTTTGAATCATGGTTTGAAGAATCTCTTCTTCCGAGATTACCTAAATATAGTGTGATTATTATATGGACAACGTATCATATCATTCAAGATTAATGAGAAAATTCCAAATAGTACTTGAAACAAATTCAAGAATTTTTATTTGAGAGAGGTTTGTACCTTGAGGCATCATAGTAAAAAGCAATTGTTGGAGATTGTTTATAGTAGACAGTACCAGAAGGTATATGTTGTTGATAACTGTACTCGCATTAATGGGCATACCGTGCTTGGACTTCCTCCTTACTATTGTAAATTGAACCCAATAGAGTTAATATGGACTCAACTTGAAGCAAATAGAAGAAGAAAAAACGTGGCTCCTAAATTTTTGTCTACTGCTCTCCAGTTAATTAGAAGAGAAGTCACAAAGATCACAGCAACCAACTACAAAAATGTAATCAAACATGTAATCAAAGTGGAAAATGACTATGTTAAATATTTACCAGCAATAACCAAATTAACTAAAAATTTAGAAGATACTAGTGATAACAGTGAATCTGAGTAGATTTTTAAGTTCTTATTTCCAACTAGGTCTTAGTTGAAACCTTTATTTTTATTGTAATTGTACATATTCTCGTTTTGCTTATATATCTTTGAAAATAGAGTACAAATACACTTCATGATAGAACAAAAACGTACAACATATCGTTAGGTTAAAATGACAGGGTTCCAACTAACAAAATCGCATATTTGGAGTTATTAGTGTGAAAAGATTCCAACTGATCTTCCCTATATTTTGATCTGACAACAGCGCTGGCTAACAACGCAATTCTGACTCGTTACAATGCCAAGGTTCCATCTGTGAACATAAATAAAACCAAACTAGAATGACATTCTACAAATCGACAAATCGAGGTGACACATGAAACCTTGTCACTCAACCAATAAAGGTGGATTTTCACAGATCCGATATCCGATGGTACGATGATACGATATAAATTTCACAGAATTTTATTGCTTGAAAAATGACAGGTAAAATTTTCGTACGAAATTAAAAGTCATCGGAAGAAGTTAAAAATATTTTAACTTTTGCACGAAAATCGGATAAATTTTGACATTGTTGACATTTCTAACTTGAACCTTAACCTTTTTTTTGTGGAGTGTTTATGTTTACTATTTGAAATATATTTAAAATGGAACAAAGACCTAATTATTATATAAATGCAATGAATAAAGTGTTGCTTTTGGGTCTTCTACACTATGCGAGGCAAAAGTTACGAGAACGTAGCTCAATATAATATATATTATATATCAAACAAAACAGCTAACATTTATTGACAGTTCATTGAAATAAATATCAGTCCATCCAATAATCTGACACATAACACAAATATGTCAAAAAATTTCGGATACGACAATCAAATATATTCGTACAAAAAAATTTCGTATTTCGTGTCATCGGATCTGTGAAAATCCAGCATAATTAAGATTTGTAGTTGTGTTATTAAAACGTTTGTATACTAAAATACTTTTACCTAAAAAATTGTTTAATTGTATGTGATAATTACTTTTATTAACAATTTTTTACAGGTATTATTAATTTACAATAAGTTCTGTTTAGTGAGCCTATTAGTGTTATCACTCCCTAGATATACCATAGAAGTTAACAACACCAATATTTTTTCTTTAAACTTTATAGAAAATGAAACTTTTTCTTAAATAAAATTAAATAAAAATAAAAACTTTTTTATCTAATTTAAAATTAGATATCTACGCTACTGCTCAACGAAGCAGTGGCCAGTCTAACATTGTTGTCATTTTCTAGGATTTGGCTCGCTCTGGGTCCTATAAATTTTTTCACGAAATTACGTGTCGACTATAATGACTGGGCTTTTCGCGGAATGACGTATTACACCTATTGCCTGCGACATATACATAATATTTATTACAGGAGAATTTCACGCTTTGAAATAATGTTTTTCCTTTTAGAATCAAAAATTGACATGAATTCAGAAAGTGATCCGGGAAGAGACTATAGGGCCACCAAGTGGATGACAAAGAATATTGGTTTACAGGGAATTCCACCATCAGCATTTTATGGACCAGATCATAAAAAACTTGGGGAACCATTTATTAGATATTGTTTCTTAAAGGTAGGTGGAAATGTTGTTATTCAAAATACGAATTTGTCACTTAAAATATTTGTATTTCAATAGGATATAATTTTATTTATTTATTATTTATTTAGCGTATGGATAATTACAATACGATAAAAGTAGTATTTAGATAATAACTATGTTCAAATTGGAATTGTAACCCAAGTTAAATATTAAATATTAATGTCCAAATTGCACAGCCATTCAATTACACCAGGAGAACACTCTGCAAAATCTTGAAGGTCTCCGCTGTATCTGCGGATTGGGCAATCCGCCATGATGTGTTGGATGGTCTGTCTCGGGGATCCACAATCACATTGTGGGCTTTCTTCATGACCCCATCGGTATAGAAAATCGGCACATTTGCCATGACCCGTGCGTATGCGATTTAACTTTGTCCATATAGGGCGTGGCAGGTTTGATCCAGTGAAGCCGATCGACGTACTTGTTATTTTGATGACGTCTGGCTCTGTTGTTGGCATCCATCTTTTCGTCCACTGCTCTTGCTTATTGTAGCTATCACCCATTCCCTGAACGGATTGGACAGGGGGTCGTCTGGACTGCAGTCTTTGTTGGTCTCGCGGCGTGCGGAATATACTGGTGAATTGGCAGACGACTATTTGCCATGATTTTCTGATATTCTCTGACAAGTGCTGCCGTTCGTCGAATATCTGGAGGTGCTATATTGCTCAGAATTGGAAGCCATCTTAGTGGAGTTGATTTAATAGTACCAGATATTACTCTCATAGTGTAATTTAGTTGAACATCAATCTTGTTGACATGAGCGCTATTTAGCCATACCGGTGCGCAGTATTCAGCGACAGAATACACCACGGCCAGTGAGGAGGTTCGAAGTGTATCCGCAGTGGCACCCCATGTCGTTCCAGCAAGCTTTGTTATTATGTTGTTACGGGTTCTCACTTTGGCAGCTACATTCGTAAGATGGGTTTTGAACGTCAGTGATCTGTCGAGCGTTACACCCAGGTATTTAGGGTTGTTATTATGTTTCAAAGTCTCGCCATTGAAGGTGATGCTAAGGGTGTCATTCGAAAGCTGATTTGTGAGATGCAAGAGGCTTGTCTCAGTTTTGTTTGTATTAGGGCGAAGTCGCCATTGTTTAAAGTAGTCGCAGAGAACCCTTAAGTCTTCGGTAAGCGCCCTTTCTCCAACATCTTTGGCTTGGTTTTGAAATGCGATAGCCAGGTCATCTGCGTAACCAATTTTTTTTGATTTTGTCTCTGGAAGATCGGCTGTGTAAATGTTAAATAACAGTGAAGCAAGCACTGAACCCTGTGGGAGGCCATTACTTAGCTTTCTGACATTGCTCTTTGTATCGTTTATATATACTTGAAACAGTCTGTTGGTTAGGAGGTTATTGATTAGTTGGCAGGTTTTCAGGCATGGTATGACCTTCATTAGCTTGTAGATCAGGCCTTCTCTCCACACAGTGTCATATGCAGCCGTCAGATCTATAAACGTTACGGCTGTTTTTTCCCGTTTTTCGAAACCGGCTTCAATAAATGTCGTTAAGGACAGTACTTGATCACTACAGCTACGCCCGCTTCTAAATCCGGCCTGTTCGACTGGTATCACAGTGTCGGTGATGGGGTATATCCTGTTATATATATATATATATATATATATATATATATATATATATATATATATATATATAGGATATAATAATAACTGTTAAAGATATCCGTCATTTTTATTTTCTTTGTCTTTATTTTTCCCTGAGTACATTTCTTTATGTTTTTCTAATTTAGGCGATACTAGTATTATACAGAATGTTCAAAATCTTTTCAAATAATCTGAATTATTGTTGCGGGCGATTAGTCATTATATTTTATCACTAAAAGTTCCTATAGGTATGTAATAAGTTTTTTTTTTTTTTTTTATTTATTTATGCCTCAACCTCATAGGGTCATTGGCGTTGTACAATTTAGAGTTTTACAGTTTATTTAGTACATTTATGGAATGTAAGTATGATGTCAAATTTTTCATATCAGTTCCGTCACTTAATATTGCCTGTAAGGTATCTTGTAATTTATATTGAAGTCTCTCCATGCGATATAAAGGACACTCCAGTAAAATATGGCGAACACTGAGCACAATATCACATATGTTGCACTTTGGTTTTAATTCACTCTCTAGCAGATGTTTATGGGTGATGGCGGTGTGGCCTATTCTCAGACGAGATAGGATGGTTTGATGTTTACGCTTATTTGGGGTTGATTTCCAAGGTAATATGGAATGTTTTGCTTCTCGTAGTTTGGATGTTGATTGATTCCACTTGGTCTGCCAATCATTGATTATTAAGTTCTTGATTACAGGTTTTATATCTAGATGTGGAATGCTTCTGATTTCTACAGCTTCCGGACTCGAGATTGCTAGTTTTGCCAAGGAATCTACTTCTTCGTTACCAGCAATTCCAATATGGGAAGGAATCCATACAAAGTTGACATTTATGTTCATAGTTTGTAGTTGGCTTAATGCTGATTTAATAAGTAGTAGACTTGGATGACTAGGATATAAGTTATTTAGGGCAATTACAGAACTTAGGGAATCCGTAATAATGACAGGGTTTTTGATACTATTTTCTACCACAAAATTTATTGCATTGAGAATAGCAGTTAATTCGGCTGTGTAAATGGATGTTAATTTAGGGAGTTTCATTAATATTTTTGTTTTATTAGACATAAATGCTGCTCCCACTCCATCTATAGTTTTAGAGGCATCGGTATATATAAGTGTATGGTTACTGTATGTCTTGAATTCTTGGAGGACATATTGATATAATGCTTTGGGATGGTTATCTGCTTTTTTATATATGGAGAGTTTGGTATTGATAGATGGGATGGGAACAGTCCAAGGGGGAACAGTGTTAATATCGGGTATACAATAGATATCTTGAAATTTGAATTCAAGTTCATTGAGGTATCTATTTACCCTTTCATAAAAAGGAAGGTCAAGCCTAGCATGAGTTTTAAAGATATTCCTAAAACGGTCTGAATTTACATAGTGATTAACAGGATTCATAGGATTTGCCTGTATTGATGCCGCATATGTTAGTGAAAGTTGTTTTCTTCGGAATTCCAGGGGGACTTCTCCAGCTTCACAGTGTAAACTTTCAGTAGGGCTAGTATAAAAAGCACCTAGTATAGTTCGCAAAGCACTATTTTGTATTCGATCGAGTTGTTTTATGATATATGGTTTTGCTGAATCATAAATAATACAAGCGTAGTCGAGTTTGGACCTGATCAATGACTTGTACATAAGGGTCAGTGTTTTACTATCTGCTCCCCACGTGTTGTGTGCAACAGTTTTTATAATGTTAAGTGCAGATTGACAAGTACTTTTTAGATCATGAATGTGGTGGTTCCAGGATAATCTGCTGTCAAATGTCATGCCTAGACATTTAATTTTCTCAACATATTTTATTTCTTTATTAAATAGTTTTAATTCTGGAGTGATATAACTTCTTTTTTTTGAAAATAGCATAGCCTTTGATTTTGTTGTTGATAATTGAAGACCTGTAGAATTTGTCCATAATTCGAGATTCCATAGCACTTTCTGTAGATGGGTCTGAAGGGTTTTATCATTTATCCCCTTAACAAAAATGATTAAGTCATCTGCAAAGAGTCTAGCTTTTACTGGTAAGTCACAAGTGGAGATAATATTATTTATTGCAATAAGAAATAGGGAGACGCTTAAATTAGATCCTTGAGGAATTCCGTTTTTTTGAATTTTTGTATTAGATAAAGTACCGTTAACTCGTACATTAAAAGTTCGATGATAGGAAATTTTTTATGAATTGTGCTATATTACCTTTTATTCCCCATCGACTAAGTGTTTGAACAATACCATGTCGCCAAACTGTATCGTATGCTCTTGTTATGTCAAAAAATATTGCGATACATTTTTGTCCACATGCCATTGCTTCATGAATCTCAGACTCTAAACTAATAAGATTATCCAGTGTTGAACGACTTTTTCGGAATCCGCTTTGTTCCGGGGCAAGTAATTTATTATTTTCTAAAAACCACATTAATCTGTTGGATATGATTTTCTCGAGAACTTTACACATTACACAAGTTAGAGAAATAGGTCTATATGAATGTGACAGAGATTTTGGTTGATTTTGTTTATAAATAGGGATGACAATAGATGAACTCCAGATTTTTGGAAACTTGCTATATCTCAATATATTATTATAGATATTCAGCAAGTGTTTCTTTGCAGATGAAGGAAGTTTTTGAAGAAATATTGCAGGAATGTTATCAGGACCGGGAGAAGAGTTTTTTGTATTATTGAGTGAGTATTCTAATTCATCCATGGTTATGGGATAATTTAAAGGAGAAAGGTCATCAGGCGGTATATCAATACCTTTGGATTCCTCTTTCTCTTTTTTGGTCAAAAAATCTGGAGGAAGAACATTATCACTTGAGAATCTTTCAAAACTATTAGCTAGAATATTAGCTATGTCTAGAGGGGAAGTGTATATTTTTTGTTTTTCTTCTAAGAAGTTAATGTGGTTTGGGGTATTTTTTCCCGGATATCTTTCGTACCATTTGCCATACTTTATTAATTGGTGTAGATGAATTTAATTCTGAAACAAACTTTTTCCATGATTCACGTTTACTTCTTTTAATTATAAATCTAGCTCGTGCTTTTAGTCGTTTGAATTCTAATTTATTTTCAAGTGTATTATATTTCCTGAATCGATTTAATGCTGTTTTTGAAAGTTTAATAGCTTCTTGACATTCAGAATTCCACCAAGGGACTGACGAATTTAATTGTTTAGGATTCATTTTACCAACGGCTTTTTCGGCAGCATTCAATAATACATTGGAAAACTCTTGAATTTGACTATCAATATTATTATTTGATTGTAAAATTTCATGTAATGCATTCATTTCATTTAAAACTAGATTATAATACTCTTGCCAATTTGCATTTTTGATATTCCATTTTTCAACATTACAAGAGTACTGTATACTGTCAGGATTTGTTATTACAATCGGAAAATGGTCACTATCATTTAAATCAGAAAGTACATCCCAAGATAAGGTAGCTGATAATGCTGGATCACATATTGAAAGGTCTATGGCAGAGGATTTACCAGTAGAAATGTCAAAATGAGTATTTCTTCCATCGTTTAGTAGGTTTAACTGAAAATTGTCCAACATTATTTCGATTCTACGACCTAATGGAGTAATTATTTTGATCCCCATATGTAATTATGTGCATTAAAATCTCCAACTATTAGACGAGGTGAAGGTATTTGTTTAATCATGTCTGAGATTTCATTATTGCTTGGGTTTTGTGTAGGTGGAATGTATATATTACATATGTTCATTTTTATAGGCCCTTTGATAGTAATTGCGACCGCTTCAAGTTGTGTATTGATTTGAAGAATGTCTACATCGATGGATGAATGAGTGTAAATTGCTACGCCACCACTAGCATGGTCTACATTTTCTCTATTTTTATATGTGCATGTGTAGTGTTTTAAATTACGAACTTTAGTATTTTTAAAATGAGTTTCCTGTAAACAGAGTATGGATGGAGTAAGTTTTTTAATCATTTGTTGTAATATCTCAAGGCGAGTGTAATATCCTCGTAGGTTCCACTGGATAATTGAGAAAGCCATTATAATATATCTTTTACAATTTCGTTATCGGATTCGGTGTTAGTTTCTGATTGTATGGATTTAAGTATTTTGTTTCGAAGTCTAGTGCATCTATTTTTTGATTTCCTATTTGATAAATTCTCATGTAGTTGATTTAAAAGTTTCAATCGGTTTTCTAGATCATTTGTATACGTTTTTATTAAGCTTACTGGGTCAGAAGTACCATGAGCATTTTCCAGTATATCTACTAATGTTTCATAAGATATTGAATGGTTTACTGAAGTATCTTCATATATTCGTCTAGCTGAATTTTTTATATCGTCAGTTACTTTAATGGTTCCTATGTTTGTGATTGAAGACTTTGGCTTTTTTAATTTAGGGTCTGGAAAGGGGTTATTTACTGGAGTATCATTTGGTGGAGGGGTTATAATTTCAGAGCGATTTCGTTTGTTTGAGGGAGGATCGTGGGACATTTGTTGAAAATCAGTGCTTTCTTTAACATGAGTAGATGGTAAAATATGGATATCCGGTTTAGTCGATAGTATAGGAGCCGAGGAAGATATGTTTTGCGTTAGGGGAATGTATTCATTGTCTATTGGATCAGTTGAAGTAGTTGGAGCAGCATTTTGTGCTTGAGATGTTTGAGTTTCTTTAGTAGTTGGGCAATTTCCAGCCGAATGTCCCGCTTGCCTACAATTAGTACATAGATCCTTCTCCATTACAAGAAATATACGATATGATGTCATTTCGTAATTCACAATTATTGAGTCGGGTATTGATGAGACTGGGGGAGAAATAAAAGTATGCCTTCTGAAACTGAAAATGTGTTTGTAATTAGGATTTGATGTACCAATTTTTAAAAAATTTATTGGAGTTACCAAAGTTAATCCCAAATTAGAAAGTGCATTTTCAATAATTGAATGTGGGATTGAAGGACAAACATTTGATATCAATAATCTTTCATTTGGTGACATTAATTTACGAGCCTGAATTTTTTGATGGTTTACAGTTATTATCCCTTTGTTAATTTGTAGAAAATTGTTAACTAAAGTTTCGCTTGTTAGATAAATGCAAATTCGACCATTTGACATTCTAGAGGAGAAGAGAATATTTTTTGGATGCATTAAATCACCAACTGCAAATAGATAGTCTTCCAACTTTGTATTTTCCAACGCAGGAAAAACTATTGCTTGTGTTTTGGATGGAAATTTAGGTACATTTTGATTTGTGACAGTTGCAAAAGATTGTTTCATATTTGTATTTGATGAACTTTGCTCCAGTTCTTGTTCAGGGGCCCCAAGAGGCGGAAAATTATCAATTTTTAATTATTATCATCGATAATTCTCAAAAACCCAGTCCGGTCCTGTCCCCTCGATATCAGAACTGATAAACGGTAGCAGTAAAAAGTTGTTGCTTTATAACCAAAATTGATTCTTGTTTACGTGGATTTAACTTAAATGTTAATTATTTAGATTAAATAAATATTTGTACTCACAGATTTTATACTTGTGGTGAGAAAAATCACTTAGATTCACTTTTTAAGTAAAACTGTAATTAGTTTGATGCTTTTTAACACCTAAAAACTGGATTTATGTGGAGCTTGTTTTAAACCTCGTTTGACTTCAGAGGTCGATCGATCCGTAATAAGTTTTGTAGTTAGTAAGATACATGATATTGAATTTTTGTGTAACAAACTCTGAATGCAAGTAAAAGGGATTGCTGGGGCCATAATTTTGATATAATAAAAATAGTATATTTCAGATCAGATGTTCCAAACTTACACGTTTTGTTACGTTTTGTTATAATGTACGCTTTCGTCGTCATCTAACGGACTTCCGAATCCGTTCGAAATAGGCAGCCGTGAACCTTCGATGCTGTTATATAGTAATAATAAATGGTAGATGGCTCAAATAAACATATATTTCAAAAGAACGTTTTACAAATTACAAAACAGGTGCATTACACTCTAATTGCTAATTAATTGTCATATATAGGTTATGTCCTCAAATACATTGTGACTTGACAAATAACAGTACAAATTCTTCTTATTCTTCAAACATGAATATCTTACAGATGCAATTTTAAAGATTTACTTAATTTACAATTCGGGTTGTTGTAAACTCAGCAGTTTAAATATTCCCACACGCTAAAATCCAACAAATTACGTTTAGGTGACCATACGAACTATGCGTATAGAAATCTCCATTTTCATACCAAAGCTTTTTCAATGCTATATATAGTGCAAAACCATGACAAATCTTGAATTGTATTTTAATTTAATCTGAGTTATTCTGATAATTATTATAAACTGTTTTATGAGAATACCTATTTTTTTTTGTTGCAGAAAGATGAAAATTTACAGAAAGCAGCCGCTATTCTGAAGAAATGGAAAGATGGTTTTTAACAAAAATTCTGTTATAATCCAAAGAGATTTTGTGATGAGACAAAATTTTATGTAAATGTATAATAAAATTGTTGTTTTTACACGTCTTTGTTTCTTAACTTTAGTACTAGACTTAGGCTTCTATCTTATGGGCTATTTGCTGATATATTTCTGTTACCACTAGAACATACCATATAAAAGATAAATGTTATCCTTTGAAGGAAATCACACCAAAGTACAACTTTTATATATTTTTTTAACCTATTACTATATAGTCCAGTTGTCAGAGAGTTAAGCACTAAAAATCATACAAAAAAGCCCAAAATTAATATTCTCGGCAAAATTCAGCCTGTTCGAGTAATTTTTAGAGGTTCAGTGGTATTTGCTTCGTAAATTTTTTTTTTTTTTTTTATTAGAAAAAGATGTCGCATCCACCAAAAGGTTATTAGCGACGGAACAAAATATAAAAAACAAAGTTAAATACCTACAGATTGTACAAAATGTTTATGGATTTAAGATTATTCACTATATTGTTACAGGAACAGTTTTGACCTAGAGCCTTTAGTAGAACGTTTGGGATCCTGTAGCGCTGTCTTTCTTGGTCATATTTACTACAAATTGTTAAAAAATGTTCGACTGTTAATCGGACGTTACACTGATCACATATAGGTGGATTTTTCTTTGTAAAAAGGTAGGAGTACGTTATTCTGGTATGTCCTAAGCGTAAACGCTCAACCGCAATTTGTTCTCGTCTATTGAGCGACGATGGAAATCACTGAGACACATTATTTTTGATTTTATTTAGATTGGAATTAGTTTGAGACCACTCATTTTGCCACAAACACCACACTTTATTTTTAAAATAAGCTTCTAAGTCACTAAAAAACACACTTGTCTATCGGCTGCGACAAATCACTTAAAATTGCCTCTCGTGCAGTCCTGTCAGCTTCTTCATTTCTTGTTATTCCGACGTTTGAGGGAACCCATAAAAATTGGACGCATCTTCCATGTTCATAAGAAATAATAATATCTGGAGAATATTTAGATAAAAGAAGCTGTAGCATAGGGAGACGATGAAAAAATCCATCAATGTTCCATTAAAGTATCGAGTTGAATGTTGTTAACAGATTCGGAGTTAGATGATACTGAACAATTGTCTACAGAAGAGTCACTATCTAAGTCAGAAATCTCTTTCTCTAAATGGTTGTATAGTTTCTTTAGAAGTTTTGTAAACTTGCTTTTTGTAGATCTATCATTTGCATATTGATAGCTGCTTTGTAAAAGATGGAATAAACCACAGATATCAGTTGTAAATTCTTTGACGACGCTAATAGTGTCGAAGGAGCCTTGGACATTATCAATCAGTAAGGACAATTGGTGGTAATTTAAAACGAATGGTGGGGTATGATTATCAATGAAATTTTCAAGAGTTTCCCGTGTAGATGGGACTTTATATGAGCGCGGTTTTTTTGGTTTAGACGGTTTGGGTTTTGCAAACAGATTTTCTGATGAAATTACTGAGTCTGAAGGAGGCGTGACGATCTCACCAATACTGCGTTTTATGGAAGAACTTGTGTTTTCGGAATTGTTATTAGAGTTTTCATTTAGATGCTGTGGCTTTATTACATTTGGAAGTACTGGAGCAAACTCCTTGGTAGTGACAGAACTCGAGCTTGAACCTTTATTTGTAACATTGGTTGAAATGGTTGTTTCAGAAAATTGTCTTGTTGTATCAGTTTTATTAGAATTTTCTGCAGTTGTATCTAATGAAAAAGGAGCTGATAGATTAGAGGATATTGCTTCCGAAGTTTGTGAAAACGGTATTGCTACTGATTGAGGTTGATTGAAAGTGTTGTTATGAGTAGGAGCGTTAGTAATTTCTTTGTCATGGAGATTTGTAGGTGTAGGTGATATGCTTGGATTTGATGATGGATAACTTGATGACTGCTGGGTGTTTGGTACCTTGTGTAGTATACTTATTGAAGCTGTTTGATTTGGTACTTCATTGTTTGACTCAATATGAGTTGATTCCGTTACCGAACTGTTTTTGCATTGGGATGATATGTGCCCTGTATTTTTGCAAATAAAGCAGGTGAGTGTACCTTGTGACAAAAATATGCGGTAAGGTGTTTGGTCGAAATTTATTAGAATAGAATCTGGAATTGGTGATGTTATAGGGCTTATATAAACTTGCCTCCGAAAGCTCAATATGTGACTATATTCGGGAAGAGTCGAGCTAATTTTCAGAAATGTTATTGGAGAAATAAGCTTTAAACCGATATTCTCTAATTCTTCAACTAATACTTGATGAGGAATTGACGGGCAGACTCCAGACAAGACTAGTCTTTCTGCTGGAGAGACAAGTCTTCGTGCTGTTACTGCTTCGCCGAGTACTTCTATAGAGCCATATTGTGTCATGAAGTTATCTACTACGGTCTTGTTCGCCAAATACATGCAGATTCTATTATGAGATAATCTAGATGAAAAAATAATATTTTTTGGGTTGATGATTGTGCCCAAAGGAATGAGATAATCCTGCAGTTTAGCATTATCAATACAACTAAATACAATTGCTTGGTTCTTACTCGGAAAAGAATGTGAAGCGGCTGAAGCATAACTGTTTGTGATATTTGAACGTTGATTTACTGGACTGGTTAGATCGGAAGGTGTGTTTACATTGTGTGAAGTCATTTTAAGGTGCGGTAGCGAAGGCCTTACTCCGACTCTGGTAAGTGAAAAACCAGTCGCATGCTACTATAAGCTACTTATAGCAGCTAACCTCACAAAATGATTGTATGGTAGTTTATATTTATTATTTGACTTTTTCTTTTCACAATAATAAAATAATAATTACGTATAGATGACTTACGTAGTAGTATCTAGTAGATAAACACTTTAATTTTAAAAAACTGTTTAATAAAACCACTTGTTTTTATTAAAAACTAGGAGTACGATATCAATACAACTTAACCGTACCTTGCCAGGGCACGTAAATTTTTATTTGCATAAATTTTTAAACATAATTGAGCAAATAACGTCACATTATTAATTACAGATAAAAAAAATATATGACATCACTCATTTAAAATATATTAACATTACAAATTAAATATGCTGATCAAGGAGAAGGATAGGCCAGGCACTCCGCCACAGTATAGGGCTCAATGTCAACTAGGTGTTGAAAAGCCTTTCTTTTAAAAGCTCTATAGTGTGTTTCCTGTTGAATATCAGATGGTAGACTTTTATAAAATTTAACACATGCATACAAAGGACTTCTCTCTGTTATAGACAATCTGTGAAGTGGCAAATTCAAATTAAGGCTTCTTGTATTATATTCGTGATTGGGAAGCAGGTGATAAAACAAAGAAATTTTTTTAAAAAGGAACATAATACATTCAAATATATAGATGGCTGAGAAAGTGAGTATATTGAGTCATTTGAATCGGCCTCTACAGGATTCTCCGCCTTTAGTCCTAAGATCAGCCGGACTGCCTTTTTTAGACTATAAAGACAGTTGAGCTATCTACTGCATCACCCCAGAAGATTACTCCATATCGCATAACAGAATAAGTTTGCATAATATACTGATAGTAAAATCCCCTGGTCTAGATAGCTCTTTAACACTCTTAATGAGTAGCAGGCTATGTTCAGTTTTTTTGTTGTACTTTGTATTTGTTCCCCCAACTCAGATTCTGGTCAATATGAATATCAAGAAATTTAACTGATCTAGCAGGTTCCGTGTTTTGTGATAGAAAATTAATTGTATCTGGAAACTGTTCTCGTGACTGGCTGGTTCTAAAGTAGACAAAAACTGTCTTATCAGTATTAAGCAACAACCGATTTCCACTGAACCACTGTTCAGTCTTGCTTAGAATTTGCTCTGCCACTGTGAGGAGTGTTTCTTAAGTTTTTTCCCAGAAAAGCACATTTGAGTCATCAGCGAAATTTAAAAGGTTTGAGGAATTACTAACCACCGCATTTGGAAGGTCGTTTATGTAGACCAAAAAGAGAAAAGGCCCCAGAAAACTCCTCCGTGGTATACCTAATTTTAAATTGATCGGTTCAGAGTAAACTTTACATCCCTCTTTCTCCAGGCATACCTTTTGTGACTTATCTGTGAGAAATGATTTTATCCATTTTAATGCCGGTCCCTGTATTCCATAAAGATGTAATTTTTGAAATAAAAGAACATGATCTAGGCTATCGAAAGCCTTAGATAGGTCCAAAAAAGCACCCCGTGTTTTCATCTTTGCCTCCAGTGTTTCTGAAATTTTTGATATAAAATCATAGGTAGCTGTCTAAACAGATCTCCCTGCGAGAAAACCATGCTACTAAATAGGTTGTTTGTAGTAAAAAAGTTTTGCAGTCTGAAATATATTGCGTTTTCAAATATTTTTGAGAATGATGGAAGAAGGCTTATTGGTCTATAGTTCTTCATCTTAGTAACATCACCTTTTTTATGTAGTGACTTGACAATTGCCTGTTTTAAATTTTGAGGAAATTTACCTTGCCTGAAAGAAGCATTAACTATAAAGGAAAGAGGTAGAGAAATCTCTGATGAAACATATTTAATTAAGTTGGTTGATATTTCATCATAACCAGAGCTATGCTTGTTTTTTAAGTTATTTATTATGTGACTTATTTCTTTCTCTGAAAAATGAATTAAAAACGTGCAATGATTAGTTTGTTCGATATTAATTTGAAAATTTTTTACATACTTTATTTTCTTTACAGCTTCTGGCGCTGCATTTGCCATAAATTGATTTATTTCATTAGAAAGCACCTGAGGGTCACCCTCCAAACAGAAATTACCTTGATTTTTGGAATTACCCTTAATCTCTTTTATCAATTGCCAAGCCATTTTAGTTTTATTTTCGCTATTTTCAATTCCTTCTTTATAATAATTTTTTCGAGATTGAGTGAGTAAAGAATTGTATTTGCATTTTTCTGTCCTGTAAATATCTTTATAATCAACATTATTGGTAGATAGTGTAAACAAAACATCAAGTCTAGATTTACAACGTTTTATATCATCATTTTTAAAGTGCTTTTGTGATTTTTTTATTTGCTGTGTTTATCTCTTTGAGTGGAAAACATTCT